GAGGTAGATTGGCAAGTCAAAATTAAATGCCAGAATTTAGACAAAACGATCTCCGAGATGCCTTCCTGACCTACGGTTCTGTAAAATGCAACAAAGGGGTTAAAGATTACAGGTAAGGGGGGTTCTTACTGTATATCTTTGTACAAAAACCTTGAAATAACAGTTTTTGCCTTTTTAACAAAAGGTTATTTATTTCCTGTTCCGCTTTCGCTAAAGAGATACCATGCAGTAAGGAAGAAAAAAGGTTAAAATTAGCCAAGAAAAGAAAATGCAAAGGAAAGGTAAACCTTGTGATAAATCATCTGCTGCACTGAATACCGTAATTTCAGTTGAATTCATTTAAAGGACAGAACATGAGATCAGTCTCATACAAAATAAACTGTACAGCATTTTTTAAAAATAGTTTTAGCAGCATATTTATGTATGGTTATATATTGGTTTAGGGCAAAATTACACATGACACTGGGGATCCATGCTCAGATCTCTGAATAAGCAATTTAGCTGGAAAAAACAAAACAAAACAAAAACGGATAGGCAATCATGGATCCCCAATCTCAAATATAGTTCAGCCTTTAGTACACAGCTGGAAAACCCCTGGATTGTACCATTTTCTTTCCCATGACCCCCTAGGGAAAAAATATGGATTCCTTAACCAATGAATTTTATATTCCAATGAGATTTACATTCAAATTACAGATGCAGTTTTTTTCTTCTTGATATATATACACTCCTGTACACTAGAAGAATGCCACAAACCATGGGAACAAATGTCAGAGAACTAAATCTGGTTTTTTAATTATTGATCGATCCATTTTTATTATCAAGCTCACGGTGGGTATGTAATTCTATACACAGTGCTTTCCTCTTCCACTTTATCCACAGAACACTCCTGTGAGGTAGTTTATTCTGAGAAAGACGTAATGGCCCAACATCATTCAGAAAGCTGTGAGAAGGATAAACTTTCATGGCAAGAATCCACCATCAACCTCGCAAAACGTACAATTAACTGGCTCATCATATATGTCACGTGACCAGGGGTCATTTCGTAGAAAAAGAGGTGCAGGAACTCATTAGCATAACTTATTAGCATAATTTATTTGCATATTCCACATCCCCTAACGTTACCAGAAGTGTGTCAGAAGGCAACACCCACCACTCAGGTTCCACTGGACTGTTTTGGATTGCTGGCTATTGGGGGGGGGGGGGGGGGGTCCTCACAGAGGGAGAGCTCGTACCTGAATAAAACTTGGTATTAAAGGTGCCACTGGACTGTTTTGGATTGCTAGCTATGGGGGGGGCACGCAGATCTGCCCTCACAGAGGAGGGAGAGTTTGTACCTGAAGGCGGGCCGGGGGGAGGCTCTGCAACTTACCTGGCTGCTTCTTGCTCCTTGTGACCCAACTGAGGGCTGCTGGGAGCAGGGGGCGGGGCTTGTCGCATGTACCCACCCCCTGGGTTCCTTACTGCCAGAGCTTCGCTCCTGTGCGCTCCCACAGGAAATGACCCCTGCATGTGACTGTTGCTACAACATCTGCCAGCTTGAGGTCACACTACATGTATGTGATAGGTTCTATTCCATGTAAATTTATGCCATAATAAATGTTCATCTTTAAGGTGTCCCAAGGTTCCTTTTAACTGTATATGTTGGGAGTGTGACTGGGTCCCTGTGAGCATAAGTTCTTACATGCATGTGCATACATCTGTTTGTGAAAAAGAACCAATGCACATTCACTTTACAAATGAAACCAGGGCCCAGTACCTGGATAGATGTGCGGTTTGTATCACACATTCAGCTGTACGTGAATTGAATGTAACATGAGAAAAAGTAAACAGATGTATAATTTGTGAAAAGGGCTAAATAGTATTACTTGTAAAAATAAGCAGAGGGACATACTTTCTTTTATAAGCTCTAGGGATCACACAAACAGAATCACAGCTGTTCCTATTCCCCAGCTGTATGTTTGACACCCCTGCTTTAGACAGATTGCTTACCTTGTACTAAAACTGTTCCTGACTGTACCACTTTAGACTGCATATGGAGAATTGCATGATCAAATGTTCAGTATGTAGAAAATTAACATGTCAGTCCACCCACAATTATGAAATGTCTCTCAGCACCAGATCTCAGTATGTTGATATCTGAAAGAATTATAAACCCTTCCTATTTGTGCTCACTTCTGTTACAAAGATTGCAGGGCAAACCAAATCTTATGTATCTTTGCTCAGTACGTTACTTTCTCCCGTGTGGAGATGCAAAGCAGCTTACACTGTTCTTTTTGTCCTCCATTTTATTCTCACAACAACCCTGTGAGGAAGGTTAGGCAGAGAGGGTGTGACTGACCCACAGTCACTCAGCAAGCTTACATGGCAAATAATTAAGCAAATAGTTAAAAAATAAGAAGGACTCTGAGTGAACTGATCTTTCAGTTCCCATAAAAATGTTGTATTGAAGGTATGGGGAAGGATAAAAATAAACTAGATTTTTTTTCTTAGTTTAATAGTCAAGTTCAAAATAAAGAGAAATAAAACGTCAGGATGATCATTTGAAGAATTAAAAAATGGCCCTTTGTTGTTTTCTGGGGAGGAAATGGTTAAATATTACTCTTCAGGCCTGCTGAATCAGTTGTGGGAAAGTATCTTGAGTATTTCAAGCTTTTTATGATGCACTGATCTATGGAAATGAAATAAAATTAGTGTAATACCTAAATTAAAACATCATTAGATCTTCAAACTGTGGAATCCCTAGTTGTGTTTTTACCCTTTGACTCATTTCTGAAGGCAGAAACAGCTTTTTTTGCAGGTGGTTTTCAACCGTTATGTAGCTCAGCAAAACTGCAAATGGGATTCCAATGAATAGCAAAAGATGGTTGATAATACAGGTGTTGCCCTACTGAAGAAAAACACCAACTGGATGCTGTACGCTGTCTAGCACACTGCTGGTTCTGAATAAATGTTTAGCAGAAGCAGCAGTTGTCTGATAGCAGTTGTGTGGCTTTAGACACAGTTGACTTTGTAATATGAATCTTACTGATTTCAAAGCAAACCTTTCATACGCATACATTTGAAATGACAAACCTAATGATATCACCTTCAATGCTCTGCATTTAGTTATTTCACTAACCACTAATGGGTCCTGACTGTCTGGAATTAACCCTTACAGTGAAATTCAGACTGCTAATAGCTCAGGCGGGACTCCGTCCTTCCAGTTCCACAAACTGCCGGCAACGAAGCAATTACTATCAAATGGAATAAACTGACACAATTTTGCTTGGGATTCTCATTTTGTTGTTGTTGTTCAGAGTTCCAGAGTAAAGTGCACAGGCGACATCTAGTGGTCAGTAAGAATGAACTCGTTCACAAATTTCTATGAACATGACTTAAGCAAGGTAACATGCCTAACTAGAAGGTTGCAAGACAGAACGCCTAGAGGTAGCTTAAAGTGTTGTACAAAACACTGTGGCCGCAATGAACCAATTTGATAATTTTCCTTGCAGATAAAATAGGTAAAAGAACGGAAGTGAAACTTGTTCGTGTCACATAGAGGCTGCCATGCCTCTGACATTATTTCCTAAAAATTACCTCAGTGGAATCATAGCACAACAGAAAAATGAGTGTGTTTCTTTTTTATTAGATTAAAATAAATACTGAGGTGGCAGTAACAGATAGGCAGAAAGTTACTTTTACACTGAACATCCAGGCTGATGAAGAGTTTTGAGAAACTCTAAAGCTAGCACACCGCTTCGTAATATTTTATTTATTTACTTCATTTATACCCTTTCTGTCTACCTACTGGAAGCCTGAAATTGTTCTCTCCTCAATTTTAGCCTCACATAACCCTGTGAGGTAAGTTAGGCTGTGTGCCTGGCCCAAGGTCACCCAGCAAGTTTCCATGAGAGTGGGGATTTGAACCTGGGTCTCCCCGCTCCTAGTTTGAGACTCGTAACTACTACATCACACTGGCACTAACTGGCCTTCATCAAAAGATGTTGCACCTTTCATTAAAACAAAATCCTACAGACTAAACCATCTTATCTTCGCACTCCACTAATTCAAAGTACTTGACAGCACTTTGACAGACATAATACTGTCTTGTGGGTTTGTGTTTAAGAAACTGAGTATATATAAAGGGTCCAGACAGTAACTTTTAAAATTATGTGTGGACGAATTGTCTCTACAGCATGCTAATAAAGCACATATGCCAACTTTTGTACATGCTTAATAGAAACAGCAGTTGCACAGTTTCTGGGAATTACTGGTCCACATCCAGTTGTATGAGAGGAGTGATAAATTGAGGTTAAACAATAGAGAGGGGGGAAACAGCATTCTGCACCCGCTCACTTTGTTGTTGTTCAGTCGCACAGTCGAGTCCGAGTCTCCGCGACCCCATGGAACAGCTCCCACCAGGCCCTCCTGTCTTCCCCTGTCCTCTGAAGTTGGCTCAATTTCATGTTCGTTGCATTGATGACACTGTCTAACCATCTCATCCTTTGCCGTCCCTGTCTTCTTTGGCCTTCAGTCTTTCCCAGCATCAGGGTCTTCTCCAGTGAGTGCTCCCTTCTCATTTGGTGGCCAAAGTATTTGAGCTTCAGTTTCATTATCTGGCCTTCCAGGGAACAGTCAGGGTTGATTTCTTTTAGGACTGATTTGATCTTGCAGTCCAAGGGACTCTCAAGAGTCTTCTCTTGAGACTCACTAGAGGTAAACACCCTCACTAGTATCCATTTTTATGTTCACCACATTCCAGGGCTGTGCTTTCCCGTAGAATAGAAAACCCGGGACTTTAAATACCCTGGTAGGAATTCAAAGTGCTAACGTGAGAAGCAGGCAGCGCCTCCCCAGTGGGAAGTTCCCACATACGCGGGGCTCCCATTTGCTATTTTATCAAGAATTCTTGGAACTCAACGTATTTGCAGTAGACACTAAAGCGTATGTGCACACAACAGCACGTGCTCGCAGACTGATTTGGAAAGCCAGGCCGAGGGAGCCAAAAGTCTCCACCGCCTCGAGGAGGCCTCAGCTGGTACCAAAGGAAACGATCCCGAGAGCTTGCCGAGCGGCGGTGGCGGGACTCACTTGGCAGCGGCAAGCAGGGCTCCTGCCGGTCTTTGCACGCGTGAGCGCAAATTCCAACCGGCGGCGCCCAGCGCCTCGTTCCCTGCCTGTTTACAGGCCGGCGTTTAGTAGCGTTTAGCCGTGGTTGGGTTTGCACGTCCCCACCAGGCCAGGCTTCTGCAGCGACAATACTGAAAGCGGCAGCGCCACCAAGGCTCCCGCGGACAGCCAGCCGCGCGTTAGGTAAGAGAGTCTTCCAGGGTTTTCTTTTGCAACGAAGCGCAGCCGCACAGGCGGAGACGGAAGGGGAGAGAAATGGTGTCTCGCTCCCCGCCCCCTTTCCCGATCGACCACTTCTCCTCCATGTCCGCCGCCTCTCTGTGCCGCCCTTGCGAGGCGACGGCGTCAGACGTTCTCGAAAGGCGACATCGATCACCTTCGAAATAACCGACGGCGCATTCTGTGCTGTGCACATGCTCTAAAGCACTTTCTGTTTCAACCGTGCTTATCCACTCATTTTTGAACGTAAGTATATCCCGGTTCCCTTCTGTCTTCAGCTCAGTACAGCAATGAATATTTTTAGATTGAGCGTTTGAACGTTTGCATTACCTCATAATCACCGAGTTGGGAGTGCTGACGGTTGGTGACAAGGCAAAGGGTGAGTGGAGAGCCCCCCCCCCCCGAAAAGCACTGTTGCAGTTGGTCTGGCTCCACAGACATTTAGGATGCATTCTCTGCAGAGAGCTAGCTGTGTTTCAGAATCTTTTGTCCTAGGGTGGGATGCCAATCCGCAGGTGGGGACGGGGTTTCCCCCGATTTTTAGGGCTAACTCCCAATGCCGGCCAGGTGGCCGTTGGGGGGGGGGGTACTCCGCCCCCAACAGTCGTCTGTGGCCCTGCTTGAAAAGAGCATATGCCGTGTATGCCTGCCCTGCAAGTGGCAAATTCGCCGCTTGCAAGGCAGGCGTGCGCCGTGCCCGCTTTTTTCTCTCTCCTGCCTTGCAAGAGGCGAGGGAGCGCGCAGCCCCTGCTCTTTTCTCTCTCCTACCCTGCCTGTTTTGCCAACTGTTTACAGGAAAGGTTCCCTTTAAATGGTTGGGGAAAAGTGGGGGCATGCGCAAGCTGCATCGGACACGTGATATCACTGTGTGATGTCATTGCCTCAGAGATGGCCACGGCCCCTCCTGGAACGCCCACCCCATCCCCCCTCCAGGTACAAGATTGGACCCGGCAACCCTATTGCTGGCAACCCTATGGACAGTATTGCTGAAAATGAGCTTTGAAAAAGGACACTATACAATAGCCACAACCAGTGTTCCCTCCTGCTCACATATTTTTTGTCTTAGCTCAGGAAGGATAGCTCCAGAGCAAACTTAATTTATGCAGTAGCCAAATCGCTTGCTCTCAACTTTAGGGTTGCCAAGTCACTTACCGCTAATAGCGGGGGAGAGTTGGTCCCTGGCCAGGACATTCGCACCAGAAGTGACGTCATCACGTTGGGCACGTCGCCAACTGATTGCTAGAGCGTCAGCCAGCGATGTGCCCTGCGCAATGATGTCACCTCCGGGTGACATCATTGCGTCAGGCACGTTGGCACGAACCGGGCATTTTGGGGGCAGGGTTCCCCCGCCCGCCTTTTCCGGACTGGCAGATTGGGGACCCTTTTAGGGGGGGAACCTCCACCCTCCCGGGGGACCTGGCAGCCCTACTCAACTTAGATGCCAGTAGTTCACAAAGTAGAATTTTTGCTCATAAGACTTCACAGCTTAGAAGGAGCATTGGCCACAACTGCCAACTCTAGAGAAGTTCCTAGAGATTTGGGGGTGGAGCCTGGGGAGGGTGAAATTCCAGGAGCTCCCCAGGCCCCACCTGGAAACTGACATCCCTAGGGTGGAGCTGGCGGAGGCAGGGTTTGGGGACAGGAGGAATCTCAGTAGGTTATAATGCCATAGAGTCCACCCTTAAAAGCAGCCATTTTCTCCAGGGGAATGGATCTGTATACTCTGGAGATGGTTTGTAATTCTGAGAGATCTCCAGGCCCTACCTGGAGGTTGGCAACCTAAAGCATTTGGGACCACACAGAGAGAGGGTCCCTGCTCTCCTCTGCTTCTAGAGCCGTTCAATGGGTACTGCAAACTCTTGGGTCATCTTTGGAAGAAACATTATTCAGATTAAAGTTGCAGTCTTGCATTAATTCCTGCATTAATTCAGCCCATTTTAGCACTGTTGCACTGCCTTATACTGAATTAGACTCTTGGTCCATCAAGATCAGGATTGTCTAGCTGGACTGGCTGGGGCTTTCCAGGGTTCCAGGCAGACGTCTTTCACACCTACTACCTGATCTTTTCAAAATGGAGATGCCAGGCATTGAACCTGGGACTTTCTGCATGTTACACAGATGGTCTCCCACAGAACCATGGGCATTCCCCCTCTCATATAAATGGAGATAGGGCACTTTAGCCATCAGAGTCTGGATTCCTGAGGTTCTTTGTTACAGCCGCACCGTTTTTGTTACAGCTGCACCATATGCTGGTTCAGAGGCAAGTTCCTGAAGCACTGGCAGTGCCACTGGGAGTGGGACTTGGCTTCCTCCTAGTGCGTCTTGCCAAAGTCTCTCTCTGTCTCTCTCCCCATCCCATTTTATTTATTGGTGCACCAACATCTTCACCGGTAAACCAGTGCAGTGTTTTCAGGCCTAAAAGGTTGGCTTCCCATTCCTTACAAGCTTCTACCTCTGTACAGTCATCTTTTTTCATGGAGAACTAGATGAGTTTTCTTTTTAAAAAAAAAAAAAAAGACTGTTATGGTAGAGAAATCTTAGCTATTCAGAGAATCTTTTCCTGCTGTGAGAAAATCCTGCAGTGAGTAATGAAAAAAGGATTTTTTTAAAAAAAACCCCACAACACCGAGTAATACGAAGTATAAGAAAAGCTGTTATCAGTTTGTGTGCGTATATATGAAAGAGTGCACCATTTCCATAAAATTGTCAATAATTTGTAAAAAGAAGAAGCCTAACATGAATGTGCACTTCTGGCAAATATGGAAATATTGTCTATGGATTTAATAAAAGGCACAACTAAAAGCTCCAGTATGCTTGCAGCTTCTCTTCACTCTCATACACGCCTGCATTCACTCGTTGCTGTAAATAATGGGGGTAAAGCAGGTGTAATTGCACCCACAGAAATGAGAAATTGGGATGTCAAATTAATTATTGAAAAAAATAATTCAACATTAACAGTATTTTTCCCCTGCTGGCTTTGGAAGGAATAGGAGAGTCCCACCTGGCTGGGCCAGGTTGAGCTGAGCTGGGAGAGGGTGGAGAAGAAGGCAGCTGTGCCCTTAGTCCATTTTCATTTTCAGGAAGCCCTGGAGGAAAAGGCTGGGCTAAGTGCCGGTGAAGCTACAGCTAATCTCGGTGGCTTCAGTGTTCACTGTGCTTTACCTTCCCCCTTTCCACTGCCAGTATGGTGCAGTGGCTAAGAGTGCTAGACATAGAATGGATAGGCCTGTGCTAGGCATGTAGCAAGAAGTCCTCCTGTCATCCTGTTTTGTTGCCCACCAACACCAAGCTGCTGGTGGGAGGAAATTGGGGGGGGGGATTTGTACACTGGCATTGCATCAGCTCACATATAATTTCTGGTATAAAGCAGAAATTAAATGGTGGACATTCTAGTGTTTGCTTGTTTTTACAAGATGCTAGAGTGTTTGCCACATCACTTCTGCATTTTACCAGAAGTGACGTAAGGGCTCTGGCACAATGCTGGCACACCAGGCCCTGCCCCCCATTTCCTCCCTGGGGTTGCCAACTGAAGCCATCAGTCATGAACCTTACTGGGTGCCTTGAGCCAGTCTAACATACCACACAGGGTTGTTGTGGGGGACAAGAGTATACCCCCACTGGGGCTCCATGGAGGAAAGAGGAGATACAAATATTAGAATAATAATTGCCAAGCTGTTCTTTTTATTTTGCTCACCCACATGCTGGAATGGGAGGAGAAGCAAAGCAAATAAAAAAGAATGAGCAGAATGTCTCTGTCGGAAGCCGAACTTTACGAAAGGTCTGTCTCTTTAATTGGGACCGTGGCAGTTAATGAGGATGAGGAGACGCAAAAGAAAATTGATATCCATCTCGTGGCTCCCTCTGTCTTACGGTACCTTAAAAGATACATTCTGCTGCTCTGCTAATCCCTTGCTGTTTTTTTAAATAAACTTTAAGGAAAACTGATGGCATGGAGTTTGTATAGACCAGTGGTGTTCTCAGCATAGCTCGCAGAAAGCCACATTCACAAATTACCATCAACCAAAAGAGCCACAGACGTACTTATGCTCTGTGAACCACCCCATCAGACACACACATATCATTATATAAGATATTAGTGTTAATAATAAATACATAGCTATAATCTAATTACCAGATTACTTCTGAGCATGTAGGATTGTCCCTCTCTACCACTGTTGAATCATAGCCAGCCCTTAGAGATTTGGAGTGACAGGATGAGCTTGAATGTCAGGCTTAGAACACAAAATAGTGTGCAGCCTTTCCAATTCCCCAGAACTCTGTATTAGGCTGTATGTTTTTAAAAAATGGTCCCCTCTGTTCAGCGTTCCCTTCCAGTTGAACTCTGGTGCTTTGGGGAAAGGGGTGGTCAGAACCTCTCTCTGTGCTCTATTTTCACAAAGTTTTGTTTTATGAGTTAGCATTCATCAGTGGTCGACCCTATTCCACCAGCCTCATTCAGCTCTGTGTGTTGATCCAGCCTCCTACACAGAACCGCTACATCTCCACAGCCTTGATACAATCATCAGAGATGAGCTGTGCTTTAGAAATAAAAGTGTTTGCTTACCTTGAGCCCATATTAAGGATGAAATGATCTCAGTTTCTGCAGAGCACCCTTTACTTCCATCCTTAGCAGGGGGAAACAGCTCTGGGAAGCTGTCAGCTTATCCATCCTTCAGTCCCTCTGGCAGCAACTGTTTCAAGATGGAAGCCTCCTGCCAACTACAAACCCTACCAGGCGACAGCCTTACCCACTTTCCTGGAACATAGGGCAGGTGTCACACTGGGGAGCTGAGCCCAGAAAACCCACAGATAGCATGTCAAAAAGCCACATGTGGCTCCTGCACCACTGAGTTATTACTGGTATAGACTCCTGTATTTCTAACTCCCAATGTGAGGAGTTTCCTTTTGTTGTTCTTTTGGTTGCATTAGAGTTTCCAGCTCTGGTTTGGGAAATTCCTGGAGAT